AAGGGGAATACTTGTTGATTGTAGTTACAGTTGCTGTGTGTACATTTGAAGTCTTGAACTGACTTCCTTTACCCTATGTTGCCCTCATGACTGAAGCAGGGGCTCTGGTAGGCTGAAAGACAATAAAGACTTACTTAATAAATGATTAAAAATAAAAAAAATGTTTCCTGTCTGTTGTTGTGTGCCTTAGAGTTGTTTCCAACTTAACTAAGATCGTAAGGTGAACCTATCATGTGATTTTCTTGGCAAATTTCTTCAGAGAAGGTTTGCCATTGCCATCCTCTGAAGCTGGCAGTGTGTGACTTGCCCAAGGTCAGCCATTGAATTTGATGGCTCAGTGGGGATTCAAACCCTGGTCTCTGGAGTTGTAGTCCAACACTCAAACCCCTATGCCACACTGGGTCTCAAAAGTACTTACTCTTTCATTTTGGGATAGTTCTCATTTCTGTGGGCTGTTATTTTCTCAGCTGTTTAATGATGTAATAGTTTAAATCAGGGATAGGCAACCTTTCCCTTTTAAGGGCCGAGAGACTTCAGCTCCCAGAATCCCAGGAGTTATTGGCCAACATGGGACTATTGGCCAACATGGCTGAGGCTTCTGGGAGCTGAAGTCCCTCGACCCTTAAAGGGGAAAGATTGCCTACCCCTGGTTTAAATATTGGACTAGGTACAGGGATAGGCAAAGTGTAATCTCCATGCACCCATTGGGACCCCCAAGTGTGACCCCAGAAGCTTCCCCAGACCCCGAGACTAAAAGGTCTAGGCCATTTTTGCAGTGAACCTTTACCAACAACACCCCCCCAATGTGCCCATACCACAGCATTTTGTTTCCCCTGACCCTTCAAAGCCACCCAAACATCCCTAAAACATAAAAAAAAAATCTTAAAAATCAGCTGAAAAATGGTTAAAATGGCAGCCGGAAGTGATACCACATTGCTTTGGGCATGCTGAAACATGCTGGTGTGGTGCCCCAGGTGGAAAATGTCCCCTGTACAGTTGTCCATCCCTGGACAAGGACCTGGGAGGTCAGGGTTTAAATCCCTGTTGAACTGTAGAAACCCTCTGCGTGACTGCAGGCAAATAACACTCTTTCAGACTAAGAAGACAATGACCAATCTCTCCTGAATAAATCTTACAAAGAAAACTTTAGGATAGGATTGTAATAATTGCAAATTGACAGAAAGGCACATAACGATCGAAATAAGTTGCCCATGTTTAATATCAAGGCTTGCCTAAGCTTCCACAGGTAATCCTGAGCACTACAGTCAATAAATGCTTGTAGTTCTAGTTTGGGCAAGAGTAAAAGTTGGAGGAAAAACAAATAAAACAATTCATTCTTATCTCTTTGAAATGGTACAGGATTAGATCATAGCTGTCATCTCCCTAAGGGAAAGAATTCATAATATAGATACATTCTATTTAAAAATAGACAAAAGGATTTCCTAGTTAGTACAGTTTTATAAATTCATAGGAAAACAGGAAGGGGCCATGAAAATATGTAAGGAGCGAAATTAGATTATGGCTTGGCAGAGAATGAAGTCCCATTATGAATGATTCCCGGCCTAGTTCAGATAGTGTTTGAAATTTTGTTGAAGTAGATAATCTAGCCCTGTGGAACCTATGGCACACATGCCAGAGATGGAATGTGAAGCCATTTTCTCTGGCATGCAGAGCGGGGAAGAGGAGGAAAAGGCACGGGCCTGTTGTTCCTCCTCCCAGCCATCCTAGGCCTTCAGCTGCCTCCAGAGAAGCATGTGCCCATTCCTCTTCTTCCCCCCCCC